TTTATAAGTCAGAAATCAGCTTATGTTCATAGTTATAAGCTATAAGCTGTTTAGGCATAAGGTATAAGTACTTTCCCACAGCTCTACCAAACAGGGCCTTTTGTGGATGTCTGGCATCTTTCAGTATTTTGCTATGTATAGCCGTTGAGTATTAGACCCATCGGATGACCGACTGGATGTTCACATGGTCATCCTCTTAGTTGAAAAATTCGCACAACACAGTTGAGAGAAGTATAGCAGAGGCAAATGCATTGCATGCAGATTCTGTGTTCAAAGAGCCAAAAAACACTATAAGACCATCCATAATTGCGGCAGAGTCTCTGAAGTGCTTTGTGAACCTGGGAATCACTTTTCTCTTTGAGCATTTTGTTGATCAAATCCAAGAATTAATGCAATTCATTCTTTTTATGCACAAAAAAAAAAAGGGGGCACAAATCAAGCAACAATCAATTCAACCCAAAAAACGTTATGATCCCAAAACAAATAATCCACAAATTTCTCTGGCAAAAGCAGTCTCTACAAAAGTGGGTCTGGCTGAAATTGAGAATCTTGGAAGTAGTTGAAGAAGAAAAGCAAAGCAGTTGTTGTTGGGTTTCACTACAGGAAAAATCACCTTTGGCGACTAAATATTTAATCGCCTTTTAAAAAAATCCTTTTAACATATTACTTAAAGACGCACATAAATTAAAATGCATTATTTGCAAAGATAAATTTCCAAATCCAAGCATAAATTTCCCCTTGACACAAGCATGTTTTTTGTGTTTCATCCGTAATTATGGATATTTAAAGTTAACTCTATAAGGAAAATAAATAAATTAAATGGTTCTGCTTTTTAGAAAACAGTTTTTAAAAAATTTTATTTTTTATTTTTCGTATTTTAATATTTTCAATAAATTTTTGTAATATTTTAAGCATTTTTTAAAAAAATTTAGACACACATAATATAAATAAACTCAAAAAGTATAATATTTGTGAATTTTTTTTTAAAAATATACTAAATATCAAAAAAATATAAAAATTCAATATATTTTTTGTATTTTTGTGTATTTATTAATTCTTTAAAATATTTTTCACAAATATTTTACTATTTAAATACATCTAAATAAAGTACATCTAAAAAATAAAAAAAATATTTAAAATTTTAAAAATAAAAAAAATATAAAAACCAAATAATTTAATTTCTAAAAAACTTAATTCAAAAAACTTAAATCAAACCGACTCAAATTATTGTTTTCTAATAGTAACGTGTGAAACCGAATAGTCAAACTCCATCTTTAACACCTCGGATTAGGGATCTGCTGTGATAAAGGTCACAGCAGGCTACCGTGATGCCTCAGCCGGCATTTAGCAGAGTTTTTTTTTTTTTGTAAGATTTATTAGGTATATTGTTGTGTTTTAAGATGATGGTTAAAAATTAATTTTTAAAAATTTTTAAATTTTTTATATGAGAGATGATGCGACTCAAAATGAGTTAAAAACTAACTTAGGCCAAGTTTGGAAAGTTGAAAATAATTTATCTTTTTATATTTTTATCTTTTTTTCATCACATCACCTCTTTACTTTTTGCACATCTTTTCGTAAAAAGATAAAAAGTACACTTATTTAGGTCATCCTAAATAACCTCTTAACTTTTTTATGATGTTCCCAAATGACCCCACCTATATAAAAAATTAAGTTAATCAAAAATTCACAACCCCATAATCATATTCTAATTGTTTTCAATAAAAATTATCAAAATTAAACGTTTATTTTAAAAAAATAAATATACTCTTGTTATAGAGTTATAAATGTTCAATCAATTTATTTTTGTATGAATGATCTTTTTAGCAAATTTTACAATATAAATAATTTAAATTATTAAAAAAATTCAAGAAAGCTCCCACCAGAATACATCACCCTATTGTGACTGAGACTTAGGCCTCATTTGGGGATATATCTTTTAGTAATTTTTTAATTTTTTTGACTAAAATATGATGTAAAAAAAATTAGTATATTTATGATGACTTTTTAATTTTTTACGAAAAGATGTGCAAAAAATAAAGAGAATAGAAAATCTTTAACTTTTTGATATAAATTATTAACTTTTTAATTTTTTTAATAACTTTTTGACTTTTTTAATAAAATCATCACTTGATAAACGAGGCCTTAGAATCCCTTGGTCCTAACACCTAACACCTCAAGGCATAAAGGACTTGGTTAGGATTTGTTTGGAAATTAGAATTTTAGTAATTTTTGAATTTTTTTTAATGGATTTATAAAAGAACATATAACAAAGTAAAGAGAATGAGTTTGCGGATCAAAAAAATAAAAAATAAAGAGAATGAGTTGGTTATTTGTAGTGATTTTTTTTTTTATTTTTTTTATTTTTTTACTGAAATGGTTTCTTCTCAAACACCACATAATTAGTGGGTGCTTGGGGTTGCTTTTTAAGTTTTTTTGTTTTTTGTTTTTATTTTTGTTTTTTTACGTCTTTAGTAAATTTTTAAAAAAAATTCAAAACAATTATATTTTTTGGTTCTATTCGATTAGACAGACTATAAAAGTAAATTTTATTTTTTAAAAATTAAAAACAAATGTTCAAAAAAGTACATTATTCAAAAATTGTTGATTTCTTTTTTGATTTTTTTTTTAAAAACCTTTTATAGTCATCTACACAAGCCGGCCTTGAAAAGTAAACGTTTTTCATATAATTTTGGAAAAAAAAATACTAAAGACAAAAAAAAAGACAAATTAAATATACGTCCCTTGAGGTTTAGCTAAATTACAGATATCCTCTAAGGTTTGAGAAATTACAGATACCCCTCTGAAGGTCGTATTTGCATAATAAATTAGGGAGTAATTTGTTATGAAAATATAATCTCAGGGGACAATTTGTTATGAAAATATAAATATCTGTAATTTCCGAAACCTCAGGAGGTATTTATAATTTAGCCAAACCACGATGGAGTATATGTAATTTGCCCAAAAGAAAAAGGTAACTTTTTTAGCTATATGCCGAACATCCCCTTAATATCAATTTTCGTTAGTCTATTATGAATATAAAAATTAGTTATAGAATCAAATACAATATATATAAATTGACAAAATTTTATAATATTAGTGAATTTTATTTTTTAAGATTTTTATTGGTTCACATACACACACACACACACACACACACACATATATATATATTCTAGGAATTTTGTTTACACACTCTGTGTTTCGCTTTCCGTTCTCTTTCACTTGCAAGCACTCTTAGGCATGTATTAAGCATTGTAAACGAGTTAAAGAGACAAGAATGAAGCCTAAAGAGGAATATTAAGGAACGAATTGAATTATTTGTGAGCCATATGTGTTATGTGATATGTAGGGTCAAGCTCCAGGGCAATCCACAAGCCGATCACTGTGAGTAATATCTGAAATATGTTATTGTCCAATTGCTCACTTCTATGTAAGTTTTGTAAAGTTCATTAATTTTGAATGGTGGACAAAGTTTGATATGACAAGTTTGAAAGGCTTAAATGCCAGTTTGAAATGAAAGTTTGAAAGGCTTAAATGCCAGTTTGAAATAAAAGTCTGAAAGGCTTAAATACCAGATTGATATGACAAGTTTGAAAGGCTTAAATGCCAGTTTGATATGACAAGTTTGAAAGACTTAAACGCCGGTTTGATATGACAAGTTTGAAAGGCCTAAGGGCCAATTTGACACGAAAGTGTGAATGGGCCAAAAGCCAGTTTGACACGAAAGTGTAAATGGGCCAGAGGCCGTTTTGTCATGAATGAAAGTCTGAATGGGCCAAAGGCCAGTTTGTTATGAAAGTATAAATAGGCCAGAGGACAGTTTGACATAAAAGTGTGAATGGGCCAAAGACCAGTTTAACACGAAAGTGGAAATGGGCCAGAGGCCATTTTGACATGAATGAA